GGGGGCACTCCGACGATCAAGTCAGTATATCTCTCAAAGATAATCAATAGTGCTTAACTTACTAGACAGAATATAAATTGCGTACCTTAGACCTATGGGGGTGCCTCCTTTTTATAGACAACACAATCCTAGTCCCAAATAGAAGCCTAGCTCTAATGGACTTAGGATTTATTGCTAATCTTGGACTCCTAGTAGAATTAGGATATACTCTCTAAGAGTCTCATCTTTACCCAAACTAAAGTCTTCTTCCATTCTAGGACTCTTGTGCCTTATCCGCTTATCTCGGATTCCGATATCTTCGAAGATAACCTCGGCCTTGCCGAGATCACCTCGGCGTCATGACCAGGACACGTGGCACCTCGGCTGACACGTCAGCGTCACCGTGGCCACGTGTTGGTACTAAAAAATATATCCCCACAATAGTTTATTAGATTTTGTTTGAATATTAATTTTAAAATCGTTCTCTTTCTTTTCAAAAATAAGTTTACAAATACAAGGTTTATTTTCTTCCTTCTTTTTTTTCACAAATTACTCCCTAAACACAAATTCAATATTTCCTTCATTTTTTCTTTCTTTCTTTTTATTTTTTTATATTATTTTTGTTTCCTCCTCAAGTTGTTTATTTATTTATTTTAACTGACATGAGTTGTATAGGATTCAAATTCTGTTCATTTTATGGATATCTCCATTACGTTATCAATGGTGAAGAAAGATTCACATTAACAAATTATTTAAATTCAAAATCAAATAATGCTAGTTATAAACCATTGATTCAAATTCAAAATCAGCTGTTGAAGAAACCTTCGTAGCCAATGAGAAACTGGAGACATTCGAAGATTTTTGGTTGTCATAGACAAAGTTAGAAGTCGCTTTGTTATAGGTCCATCCGTATTTTCATTTTCTATTGGGATTGTAATAATGATGGAACCTTGTTTTGTAATAAAAGTTTGTAACTCTGTAATATTATTTGCTTATATAAACCAAACCAAACCAAACCTTAAGTCTCATCAAATGAAGTCGGCTGCATGAATCATTCTTCTCCACTCAACTCTATCTAAGGCCATGTCGTTAGTCAAATTAAAGAGATTCATATCTATATTTACTACACTACTCCACTTCAATCTAGGTCTACCCCTTCCTCTAACACTACCATTTACCGTTATTATATCACATCTTTTTACTACTACCTCTATTGATCTCCATTGTATATGACCAAACCATCTCAATCTATTCTCTCTTAACTTATCTTTTATCGGTACTACTCCCACCCATTCTCGAATATACTCATTCTTAACTTTGTCTTTTCTAGTCTTGCCACACATCCATATTAGCATTCTCATTTCAGCAACACTCATCTTATCTACATGTTATTTCTTAGTTGCCCAACATTCCGTCCCATACAATATCGCCGGTCTAATAGTCATTCTATAAAACTTCATTTTTATTCTAATGGGTACTTGTTTTATCGCACAATACTCCAGACGCACTCCTCCACTTAAGCCATCCCACCTTAATTCTATGGACCACATCCGCTCCAATCTCAATGACTAAAGTGAAAAGATAAGAACTTAAGGTTGATCCTTAGTGTAACCCTACAGTAATTAGAAATTCACTTGTCTCTCCAACAAGCGATCTAATAGTGGTCACCACATCTTTATATATATCCCTAATCACATCAATGTAACCTTTTGTCACCCATTTTTTCTCCAATATCCGTCAGATTATATCCCAAGGCACTCTATCATATGCTTTCGTAAGATTGATAAAAACTATATAAATGTCTCTTTTCTTTTCTCTATACTTTTCTATTGCTCTCCTCAAAAGATAGATCGCTTCTATTGTTGACCTACCAGGTATAAACTCAAATTGATTCTCTGACACCTTTGTTATATCTCGCAATCAACGTTCCATCACTCTCTCTCACACTTTTATTGTGTGACACATTAACTTGATTCCTCTATAGTTGTTGCAATTTTGATTCCCCTATAGTTGATTCCTCTATAGTTGTTCCATCACTTTATAGTTGTTGCAATTCTTATATATTGACACTAAAATACTTTTTCTCTACTCCTCTGGCATTTTCCTAGTCAACAAAATCTTACTAAATAACCTAGTCAACCAAATAATCTCCTTCTCACTCAAACATTTCCACGCTTCAATAGGGATATCATCGGGTCCTAAAGCCTTATTCGATTTCATGTTCTTAAGTGCAAACTCCACTTCAAAGTTCCTAATCCTACGATAGAACCTATAATCTTGGTTTTCCTTATTACTGCATATTTCCTCTCCTTTTGACCTACCTCCATGTTCATCATTTAATAGCTTCTCAAAATAGTTCTTTCACTTCTTCATAATCTCTTCGTCCTTCACCAACACCTTAGAGTCCTCACCCTTGATGCACTTAACCTGATTAAAATATCTTGTTTTCCTCTCTCTTATCTTAGCAAGTTTGTATATCCTCTTCTCTCCCTCCTTACTATCTAGTCTAGTGTATAAGTCATTATAGGCTTTCAATTTAGTCTCCGTCTTTATTTTTTTGACCTTTTTATTGGCCAATCTGTAGCGCTTAAGGTTTTCCTCCATTCTATCATTCTGTCACTTTTTAAAGCTCTTTTTTTTTTGTCTTTATTAGCGCTTGGACCTCCTCCCTCTACCACCAAGTTTTCCTAAAGTTGGGTCTCTTTCTTTTCGACTCTTCAAGAACTTCCCTTGAGATTCTCCTCATACAATTGGCCATCGAGTTCTACATAGTGTTAGTATCCTTTTCCAAATCTCAAGTACATTTCTTTATCCATTCTATTATTAAATAGGTCTAATTTATCCCCTTTTAGGCTCCACTATCTAGTCCTGCGACACCCACTATCTTTCCGAGTTTAGTATTACCCTTTAAAGCATAAATCTAGTACCAAAATCCTATGTTGAGACATCAGGGTCTCTCTAGTAATCACCTTACAATCGCTGCATTTTCTTACTAGAAAGTAATCTATTCAGCTCATAATTGACCCACTCTTGAAGGTTATCAAATGCTCTTCTCTCTTCTTATACATAGTATTGGCCACCACTAGATTAGAAGCCAACACAAAAAATCTAAAATACTCTCTCCAGCCTCATTTCTATCGCCAAAACCATACCCACCATGCACCCTCTCATAACCTAGTTTATCTACTTCTACATGGCTATTGGGATCACCACGTAGAATTAGATTCTCTCCTACGGGTATCTCTTGTAGTATTTCATCCATTTGGTCTCAAAAAACTCTCTTAGTCTAATAGTCTAATCCTACTTGAGGGACGTATCCACTAAAAACGTTCATTATATTCTCTCGAATAACTAAGTTAACTAACATAATCCTGTCACATTTCCTAATGACCGCAACTATATTTTCTACAAGACCCTTGACAACTATTATTCCTACAGCATTCATGTGTCTATCCTTGCCAGTATAATATAGCTTAAAATAGGTATCATCTATTTCCCGAGCTTTCTCACCCGTCCACTTAGTTTCTTGTACGCAAACTAAACTTACTCTCCTCCTAGTCATGACATCTACCAATTCCATAATTTTACCAGTTAAAGTTTCCATATTCATTGTAGTTACCCTAAACCTATAATTGTGGACTAGTTTCTTTATCTGAACTCGTTCAGAAAAATACAGAAACCTTTGCCCATTTGTCACTGCACTCAAGCGTCGATGCGGCGTCCCTTGCTCACTTTTCGAAACACCCAAAGGCAGGCGCAATGCGTCATTTAAGGGAAACGACCTAGTATTTAATCAATTCAGAGTATTAAGATTCATTTCATAAAGGATCCAAGCGGCTTTTTTACGTGTTGGTTGTCGGCTACCTAACACACAACCCTCCTCTTTTACTCGGGCTTGGGACCGGCGGAGTTATTAAGCAACCCTGACAGAGTTTTATTTGCTTGTATACATATGAATATTTTTGTGATACTATACCTACCTCTGCATTACTCATGAGATCTTGTGTTAATACCTCTTAAAATTTATTAAAAAGATAGTTTGCTATCTAAAGTTGTTGGATTTAGAAAAGAGGCTATATTAACTCCTCGACTTCCTAGAATTTTACTTAGTTATTGACCAAAAGATTCATTAGTGACGTTTCCTATGCTTATAATTTAAAAAAAAATCCTATAATTATTTATTAATATATTATTTAGGCCAAGTTTGGCTAACTTAAAAAAGTGCACTTATTTCATCTTTTTATCTTTTTTAGGTCACATCAATCAACATATTCTCTCTATTTTTTCTACACATAATACAAAAAAAAATCAAAAAAATACACTTATTTAGTCTTCCCAAACTTAGGCCTCGTTTGGCAAGAGGCTATTTTAGCCAATTAGTCAAAAAGTTACTAAATTAGTCAAAAAGCCAACAACCCATACCAAAAAGTCAAAGATTCTCTTTTCTCTCTACTTTTTGCACATCTTTTCGTAATTAGCCAAAAAGTCATCCCAAACATACAAGTTTTTTTTACCTACCTTTTTAGCCAAATAATCAAAAAATTACTAAATTAGCCTGTTCCCAAACGAGGCCTTAATCTTAATATTCCCGATTATTTAGACAATCAAAGAGCAACACATGACGATTGTTCAAGACTAACCAACAACTTTCAGACACACACACCTCCGTACCAAAGGAGTCTAGGATTCTTTACACATGATGGAACATTTTGGGTGTGTTTGGTAATGTTTACGTTTTCAGTTTATATTTACAAAAATTTTATAAACTGATTTTTGTTTATTTTTAGAAAAACATAAACTGCAAACGTGTTTGGTAATTGACAAAATGTTTTAAAAAAATTTAAAATATAAAAAAGAGTGACAAATGGCGAGTGGTGGCAAGTGGCGGCGGAAGACGGTGGTGGAAAGTGATGACGGTGGGTGGTAGGTAGCTGGTGGTGGTAGGTGGTGGTGGTGCGGGTGGTAGCGAGTGGGTGGTGGTGGTAGCGAGTGGTGGGTGGTGGCGGCGGGTGGGTAGCGGCAACGGGTGGTGGTGGTGAGTGGATGGGTGACGGTGGCGGGTGGTGGGTGGTAGCGAGTGGGTGATGGTGGTGGTGGTGGTCGTGGCAAGTGGTGGTGGTGGTGAAGTTGTGGTAATAGTAGAGTAGATGGAGTAGCAGGGGTGAAAGAGAGATAATGGTAGTAGTAGTAGTAGTAATAGTGGTAGTGGTGGTAGTGGAGTGGTGGCGATGGTAGTAGTAATGGTAGTCGTAGAGGTGAAATGGCAACAGTAGTAGTAGTGGTGAAGGTGGTAAAGGAGATGAATGGTAAGAGAGAGAGATGAGTGAGAGGCATAGAGAGAGAGAGAGAGAGAGAGAGAGAATAGATGGGAGAAGAGATAGATGAATGAGAGACACAGAGAGAGAGAGAGAGACAAATAGACAGTCAGAGAGAGAAAAGTGATGAATGAGAGAGAGAAAGAAAAGAAAGAGAAAAAGATGAAAAAATTGGTGAAAAGATATAGACAAAGAGAGAGAAAAAAAGAGAGCGTAAATAAGCAGCCCACGGCCTTCCCTAACCAAACAATTTGGCGGCTTCAAAGATGAAGTTGAAGCCGAAATCTGTATACAAATTCTGGTTGGTCCCTAGAAAAGACCCCTACAAAATAAATACCAATAAAAAATGATCACAGTGGTCAGTTTCCGTGTGAATATGGGCTTCAACAGCCGTGGTGGAGGAGAAATATCAATTCAGTGCATCTTTTGAAAAGAAATTCATATTAATAATAAAATTTATACGAATCTTAATACTCCCTCCGTCCTAAAATATTGGTCCCTTTTAAGGAATCCAACTTTTTTTGGTAGTACACTTATTGCATTTGAAAAAAATTGGTTTTCCAAAATTACCCTTTTGATAGTACATTTTTTGGGAATATCAATGTCATAATTGTACTTTTTAAATTGTTTATTAATTTAAAAGAAGGGCAAAATAGGAAATTTACATTATTTTTGTACTTGATTTATAAAGAGGGACTAATATTTTGGGACAATGAAAAATGGAATAAGGGACTAATATTTTGGGACGGAGGGAGTAATTAAAATCTTAAATTTTTAAGGTTTAACATTTAGTCAATTTTTTTTTATATTATAAATCTATAATTATTTTATAAAACTATCACTAAATTGTAATTTCTTCTAAAATCAACTGCACTTGCTTAATAGACCATATCACAATGTGAATTCATTTCCACCAATCCAATTTGAGAAGGGCAAAAAAAAAAAACTGTCTGTCAAAATTTTTTATTTAATAAAATTAATTGAAAAAAAATTACTAACAGTTCCGGTATACAATGATAGAATTTCTTATATTAATTAATTTGATAATTTATTAATAAAAGGAGTCATTTTGTTATAAAAATAAAAATTTCAAAAGACGAAGTCATTTTTTGTTATAAAAATAAAAATTTCAAAAGACGAGATGTAATTTTCAGATGAATCAACCATATTTTAAACAAACCTGAATTTGTAATTTACCCTATTAATTTGAAGACATTGTTTATCAAATAGGCACTATTTGTCCTCCTTCAAGGATAAAAACAATAATGATAATCAGTATATTTGGTTTTAGTTTTCTGAATTCAATTTTTTTTAAAATTGAATTTTTTATTTTTACGTATTTTTTTATTTTTAGTGAATATTTTTATAATTTTAATTTTTTTTTTTACTTTTTCAGATACACCTTCCTTAGATGTATCTAAATAATAAAATATTTGTGAAAAATATTTTTAAAAATTAATAAATACACAAAAATATGAAAAATGTACTAAATTTTCGTATTTTTGATATTTAGTGAATTTTTAAAAGATTTTTTTCACAATTATAATACTTTTTAAGTGTATTTATGTTAGGTGTGTCTAAAATTTTTTTTTAAAAAAAATGTGCTTAAAATATTAAAAGAATTCATTGAAAACAAAAAAATACAGAAAATAAAAAAAATAAAATTTTCTGAAAAGTATTTTCTGAAAACCAAAACTAAACAAGCTGAACTTTTCCTTCTTAGGATGAGGGGTCACTGTTGTAAACCTCTCGCTGATGTTCCTGCTGTGCATATGAAAGGCGTTATTTGTTTTAGGTTTAGATAAACAACACTCTTTCAATTTATGGGTAAATATTGATAAATCTTTTAGAAGTGTTTTAACCCAAGAAGTCCATGAAAGAATTTTTTAACCCATTTAGTCATATGTATGTATGTATAGTTTTATTCCATAAAATCCTTTTTCTTGATTTACACTATTTTCTTGGACACTTATGCCTTTATATTTAATTTTGATACCCTTATAAATATTTTTTGAACGGTTAGCAATTTTATGATGTGAACATTCATATTTTAAAATTCACATTGGTAGGAATGTAAAATTCACCCGTGGGCGGCCCGAAACCAGCCCACCAGCCGGGGCGGGCCCGGCCTGTTGACAATGTGAATATTTACATTGACATGTTAACATTCACATTAATAGGAATGTAAAATTGGCTCGCGTCCCGTGGCGGCGCGAAACCCGCTCGAGGCCCATGGGCGGCCTGGGGCAGGCCCGGTCCAACCCGTTGACAATGTGAATATTCACATTGATATGTTAACATTCACATTGATAAGAGTATAAAATTGGCCAGTGGTCCAGGGCGGGCCCGACCTGGCCCGTTGACAATGTGAATATTCACATTGACATGTTAACATTCACATTGATAAGAGTGTAAAATTGGTCCGCAGCCTGTGGGTGGCCAGAAGCCCGACCGCAGCCCGAGGCGGGCTTGGCCCGACCCGTGACATTGTGAATATTCACATTGACATGTTAACATTAACATTGATAGGAGTGGAAAATTTGCCCGCTACCCGAAGCTTGCCCGCGGCCCGGGGTAGGCCCGACCCAGCCCGTTAACAATGTGAATATTCACATTGACATGTTAAAATGCACATTGATAGGAATGTAGAATTGGCCCGCGGCCCGTGGGCTGCTCGAAGCCTGCCCACGGCCCGGGGCAGGCTCGTTTGGGTCCGGGCCCGAGCCGGTGGATCGAGCCTCGGGTCGGGCCGATGGGCCTGGGCCTAGCCTCAGGCTTGGGCGGGCTTGGCCATTTTTTTTAAATTCTTTTTAATTTTTTCTATCAAAATTTTATTATTTTCTACAAAAAAGACACTAGGCCTCAACGCGGGCCGGGCCTCGGACCGAGCCTTGAATGGGCCTTAACCGGGCTAATGGGTCGGGCCGAGCTTCAAAGTGATGGCCCAGGCCCTAGCCTAGGTTCTCGAACTAAGCTTGAGCCCGGGCCCAAACGAGCCTTTCCTGGGCCACGGGTGGGCTTCGGGCAGCTTACGTTCTTTTTGACTATTTCATTAAGTCCTATTTGAGGTAAGAAGACCAAAATACCATTTTCATCTACTTATATTCTATTTAGTTCACATTATTTTCTTATGTTTCAATAAGTCTTATGGGAGACATAATTACCAAAATACCCATAATGTGATTGTTCACATCGTCAATGTGAATGTTCATATCATCAATGCGTAGAGGCCCGGGCCGACCCATATCGAGCCTCGTGGGTGTCCAAAAAAATCCGGGCCGGCCCGGCCTAGCCCACGGGCCAAAAAATTAGGCCTAGGCCCTAGCCCTGGCACAAGGGTATTCAGGCTTTGGACGGGCCGATGGATCGAGTCTTGGGTCGAGCCAATGGACCTGGGCCTAGCCTCGAGCTTAGGTCAGGCCCGGCCATTTATTTTTAATTCTTTTTAATTTTTTCTACCAAAATTTTATTATTTTCCACAAAAAAAGACATTGCGCCTCGGGTGGGCTGGGCCTCGGACCGAGCCTTGAATAGGTCTTGAGCGGGCTGATGGGTCGGGCCGGACTTCAAAGTAATGGCCTAGGCCCTAGCCTAGGGTCTCGGACATGCTCAGGCCCGGACCCAAACGACCCTGTCCCGGGCCGTGGGCGGGCTTCGGGCAGTCCACGGGCCGCGAGCCAATTCTATATTCCTATCAATGTGCATGTTAACATGTCAATGTGAATATTCACATTGTCAACGCGCCGGGCCGGGCCTACCCCGGGCGGCGGGCAAGCTTCGGGCAGCGGGCAAATTTTACACTCCTATCAATGTTAATGTTAACATGTCAATGTGAATATTCACATTGTCACGGGTTGGGCCAAGCCCGCCTCGGGCTGCAGTCGAGCTTCGGGCCGCTCACGGGCTGCGGGCCAATTTTACACTCTTATCAATGTGAATATTCACATTGTGAATATTAACATGTCAATGTGAATATTCACATTGTCAACGGGCCGGGTCGAGCCCAGCCTAGGCCGCTGGCCAATTTTATACTTTTATCAATGTGAATGTTAACATGTCAATGCGAATATTCACATTGTCAACGGGCTGGGCTGCCCCGGGCCGCCCACAGGCCGTGGGCGGGTTTCGGGCAGCCACGAGGCGCGAGCTAATTTTACACTCCTGTCAATGTGAATCTTAACATGTCAATGTGAATATTCATATTGTCAACAGGCCGGGCCCGCCCCGGGCCGTGGGCGGGCTTTTGGCCGCCCATGGGCCGCGGACTAATTTTATACTCTTATCAATATGAATGTTAACATGTCAATGTGAATATTCACATTGTCAACGGGCCGGACCGGGCCCGCCCCGGGCCGCCCATGGGCTGCGGCCGGGTTTTGCGCCGTCACGGGACACATGCCAATTTTACATTATTATTAATGTGAATGTTAACATGTTAATGTGAATATTCACATTGTCAATAGGCCGGGCCCGCCCTGGCCCGACTCGAATTTTTCCAAGCACCCACGAGGATCGACATGGGCCGGGCCCCTACACATTGACGATATGAACATTCACATTGACGGTGTGAACATTCATGTTAGGGGTATTTTGGTAATTATGTCACCCATAGGACTTATTGAAACATAAGAAAATAATGTGAACTAAATAGAACATAAGTAGATGAAAAGGATATTTTGATCTGCTTATCTCAAATAGGACCTAATGGAATAGTCAAAAAGAATATGAATTGGATGGAATAAAGCTCTTAAAAAGTGGATTTATCAAAAAAATTCCCATTTTTTATTTACTTATTTATTTAAATTTTTTTTAAGGTTCAGTTTAGTTAGGATAAAAATGGTAAAAAGTAAAGAAATAAAAAAATAAAAAAAAATTAAGTTTGTTTGGCATGAAAGTAGTAAAAGTTATAACAAAAATAATTTTCTTGTACAAATCATAATAGTATTGTAACTAAGCTTTTCAATTTTTTACAAAAAGACACAAGAAAATATGAGAAGTTCAAATTTGTTATAAAGATAGTTACTCCATTTGTCCCAAAATAATAATCAGTGTGTTTGGTTTGAGTTTTTTCAATTAAGTTTTTTGAAAATTCAGTTTTTTGGTTTCGTATTTTTTTTGTTTTTAGTGAATATTTTTAAAATTTTAAATATTTTTTTTACCTTTTTAGATGCACTTTATTTAGATGTATCTAAAAAGTAAAAAATTTGTGAAAAAATATTTTAAAAATTTAATAAATACATAAAAATATAAAAAATGTACTGAATTTTCATATTTTTTTGTATTTTTGGTATTTAGTGAATTTTTAAAAGATTTTTTTCACAAATTTTTTACTTTTTAGGTATATTTATGTTGGGTATGTCTAAAAAGTAAAAAAAAATTGTTTAAAATATTAAAAAAATTCAATAAAAATAAAAAAATACGGAAAATAAGAAAGTAGAATTTTCTGAAAAGTATTTTTGGAAAAACACAACCAAGCAAGCTGAATTCTTTTTGAGGAATAACTTTTTCTTGTTAATACAATTATTACACTTTAAAAATATTAATTTTCTAAAATTATCTTTTGATATTACATTTTTTTGGGAATATCAATTGCCATAATTGTCCTTTTTGTGTTTTTAATGAATTTAAAAGAATAACAAAATAGAAAATTTATATTATTTCACTCCATCATTTTTTAAAAGGGACTAATATTCTGAGACAATGAAAAATAGAATAAGGAATTAATATTTTAAGATGTAAAGAATACTTATAATTTGTTATAAGTAAAGAATTCTAATTATAAGTAAAAAAAAATGTAAGAAAATAAGAATTCTAATTATAAGTAACTACTTTTATAACAAATTCAAATTTCTTATATTTTCTTATGTTTTTTACAAGAAACTGAAAGCTTAATTACCACGCTATTATGAGTTATACAAAAAAAATTAATTTTCTTGTAACTTCCATCAATTTCATACTAAACAAATTTAGAATTTTTTTCTTTTTTTTTTTCTATTTCTTTTACTTTCTACTATTTTTATCCTAATCAAACTAAGCTTTTGAAAGAAAAAACAAAGAACAAAACTTGCTGTTTATCTAAACCCTTTAAAAATAAAAATAAAAATAAAAAGCATAACAAAACTAAAACGTTGCGTTTCATCCGCCACTGCAGGACAGCAGCGAGGGGCTCACAGCAGCGACCCCTGTCCACACAAGGGGACATGGAAAATTACAATTCTAAATCAAGAATGAAGATGATAATTTTGGAGTCCTAACTTAACACGGTGACACAATATTTCCATATCAATAAAAACACTAATCATAACAAAAGTAGAACAGACAAAAAAGTCGGCTGGCTTATCCACCCGCTTTTTCGGCACTACTACAGAATAATAATTTACTCTCTGAAAAGTATTTTCTGAAAACCAAAACTAAACAAGCTGAACTTTTCCACACAAGGGGACATGGAAAATTACAATTCTACATCAAGAATGAAGATGATAATTTTGGAGTCCTAACTTAACACGGTGACACAATATTTCCATATCAATAAAAACACTAATCATAACAAAAGTAGAACAGACAAAAAAGTCGGCTGGCTTATCCACCCGCTTTTTCGGCACTACTACAGAATAATAATTTACTCCGATAACTCATTTATTCCCCGAAGCCTTATCCTTGCAATGCAAACAAGTTCCCTTTAGACAATGGACAAACTTCTTCAAACTCTTGATCCCACTAGCTTTCTCAACCACCTCATCCCTAAATGCCTTGAATACCAAATAGTCCGCTCGAGCATCCTCACCTTTGTCATCCACAAATTTACAATGCAATAAATTTATCTCCTTCACACACTTCAATCTCCCATCTAACACAATCCCAATGGCAGAACAAGACAATGTAGATTCACACAGATCCAAAATCTTCAACCCGGAAAGCCCATCAACCAAACAAGTCACTTCTCTCTCCATCAACACACTTCCATGAAGCCTAATCTCTGTCATGTTCTTGCACCAATCAACCAACTGTGAAATTACCAAATAACCCACATCAGGGCTCATCCTTGCCTCAAATATTTTCAGTTTTTGCCAGTAAAGGAGAGAGATAAAGATTGGAGCCATATTCACTGAGGCTTCAGAGGAGAGAGCAACACTTGTGATGTTGGGAGTGTTCTCTGCTATGTAGACAGTGCCAAAGTATCCAAACTTGTGTTTAGAAGGGAATTGGATTGAAACCCAACCATGGTAGTGGTTTAAGGCTAGTTTGAGGAGGTGGGTGAATCTCAGCCTTTGGTTTTCTTGATCAAGGGTGTCGATTAACCGGAGATCGAGGATGGAGTTTTTGAAGATGGTGTGTAAGGTTGATGAGAGCCATGAGTGACAGACATAAGGTGGACCAAATAACTGGTCATGGGGGCTTAGAAAAGAAAATATTTTTGATAGTATGAAGGGGTTGAGGTCTTGCCATGATGGGTTCTGGTTCTGGTTCTGTTTCTGTTTCTGTTTTTTCTGCTTTTGATTCTTCATTTTGGGATTGTTTTTTTTTTTGTTTTTGGACTGTTTTGAGGTTTGCAGGGTTAGAAGTTTGAGTTTTTGGGGATTTAAAGGGTTACCTTGGGAAGTAAAAGGACAAAATAGAAGTGAAGTGTTGGGGGTTTGGTGGGGGCAATGACCTGGACTTTTCCTACCATGTTTGGTTCTTTATATTTATTGAGAAAGTAGCCGACAGAAGGAAAAAAATAAATAATTTTTAAATTTAAAAAAAAAATTAAAAATAAATTGAAGTTAAATTTAAGGATAAGGATAAGAATGCACTTGAATTCCACATCTCTGTCAATTCTAGGGTCGGTTTTGTTTTTGTATGTTTCTCCTTTGATATATGTGTAGAGGAAACAGAGTAAATTTCCAATTCTTGAACACATCTCATATCCATCAAGAGTCAGGATAGGCTCCTTGCACCTTCATCTATATCTCCGTGCTTCTCTGTTAGGCTTTTAAGTCCAATTCATACCAATAATTCAAACAGTTTATTTTATAAATTTTATAATAAAATCATCAATTTAAAAAATAAATTTCATCGAAAAATTATAATTACAAATACAAAAAATATTTTATTTTATGAAATAAATGGTTTAAATTTGCAATCACATTTATCATTCATTTTAGAAAACAAAATGTGATTTTTTCTTAAATTTATAATTTTTCGATGAAACTTATTTTTTGTATAAATGACTTTTATTATGAAATTTACGAAATAAACCGTTTAAATTATCGGTACAGGTGTGAATTGGATCCTACAAAAAAATTATAGAGAAAAAGAAATGAAATATAGAAGAGAGTTTATCCCTGAAAAGTCCTCAACACAATGGTAATTAAAGTCCCACTTAAAACCAACAATTAAAAATTTAGGAAAAATTATGCTTTTTTAACTTTTGAATTTTGACTCATTTTATTTTGATCTTTTATTTTTTATTTTTAATTGCAACAATTAAGTTGATACACTTCGTATGGTTCTCCCATTACATCACCGTTTAAAATTGGAGTAAAAGCTAAAACATGAGAGGCCAAAGTAAAAATTGAAAGGTGAAAATTATAAAATTAAATAAAAATTAAAAAAAAAAATCCTTCAATGTCCCCCTCCTAAAATGCCTTCACCTGAGTATTTTCAAACTAAAATTTTGATGTTAAATAAGGGAATGTTGAAAAATAAGATTGTTGCAATTAGAAATGAGAAATTAAAAAATAAGACACCAAAATTAAATTGAGGGTGAAATGAAGTGTATGTGACCCTTCAATTTATAAATGTTTCTCTTCTATTGTTTTTCCTTAATAAGTTTTCCACAAATCTAAATTCCAAATAGGTGAAACACCTTGATATGATAGTTCTTTTGGCTGTGTTTCCATATTGAATATTGAATTTCAGATAGTCCAATTTCCCTTTTTCCTCCACAATTTACGCCATTGATCCAAGATTTTCTTTCCATTTTCCCCCTCCACAAATAACTCTCCGAACACAAATTCAAGATTTGCTTCTTTTTTTTCACTCCACAATTCCAAGATTTCCCTTACTTTCATTTTTCTCCATCAATCAAAGATAGCTTAAATTGTGTCATTTTAGTTTTCTATGTTTAAATTGTGTCAATTTAGTTCTCAATATATAAAAATGTTTTAATTTGGTCCCTAATTTTTAAATTGTATTAATCTGATGTCCAATGTATAAAAAATGTTTTATTTTAATACCTCAATCTAACTCTGTTAATAGAAGCAGTTTAAATATTGGAATAAATTGAAACATTTTTAACACATTGAGAAGGAGATTGACACAATTTAACCATTGGTGATCAAATTGAAATATTTTTATACATTGGAATCAAAATTAGACAAGACTCACACTTTAGGGATTAAAAAATATAATTACTCTCTTAAAAATATCCTTACCTCAATGTAATTAACCTTTTTTATTATTTAGTAAGTGATAATTAAATCTTGGCACATTTAAGGATGCATGCCAGTTGGTAATCCAAAATATTGTCTTTCTACACCAAGGGTAATCCAAATAAGGCAGCGCAGTATGATTAGGAGACAAACTGTATCTTACATACTTAGAAAATACAATTTAAAAAAAAAACATTTAAATTTAAATGAATTAAATGCATTCTTAGTGTGTAAGAGCCACACTAAATTTAAATGAATTAAATGCATTAGTATGTATGTATCAATTAATATACTAATTAGTGTACCAATCTTAGTTATGACATTGACCCCACTCATTATACAAATTATAAATATAAAAAATCTCTTAAATTATGTCACATCATTGATTAAAATACTAATTAATTTACTAATTAGTATATATAACATTAATTGTAAATCTGAGCCATGTTTTAAATATTTATGAGTAAATATTTCTATTTCCAAAAGGAAGAGAGATGTTTAAAGGCCAACTAGGCAACTTAAATTCTCACAATTATCAAGGGTATGGCATTAATTAAATTAAGGAAAATGATATGCAAATTTACTTTTTAGACTTAGAGTTAATGATATCTAAGTGATATGATTGATTGATAATTAGAGAATATATGAGAAAGAATGTTACCTTTAATATCATAATTAATTGTCACATCACTAGACTTGAAAAGTAAGGGGTTGTTTGGGAAGTATCAAATTAATATATTTTTTTACTTTTTATAAAAAAGTATGAAATGTGATTTGCAATTAAAGTAATGTGGTAAAGAGGTAATGTGGTAAAGAGGTGATATGACTCAAATAAGATGATTATGACCTAAATAAGATAATATACTAAAATAACATGTATTATTTTAACGCGCACCAAACAAACCCTAAGTCTAATTTTTTATCTTAAATATTAATTATGTTAATAAAAAACACTTCACTTTCCTTATTTTCTTTGTAATTTTAAATTCAAATTCTCTCCTATCCATAAATGGAATGGAATAGAAATCTTCATTTTCATCCCCAATGTCAGTGAAAAATCCACCTCAACAATCTTTATTTTAAATTAAAGGGTAAATTTCAGTTCATCAAGTTTACTTAAAGGGGAATTGACCAGTAAATCCTATTTTATCATTTTGTAGATCATGTGGTCCTAATTGTTTTCTTTTAAACCGTTTAGTCCTTTGGGTTGTTTGTTTACTATTTTACCATTAAAGTGTTAATTTGAGTTTGTAGACCCGCATGTATTTATGGGAAGGGGTGTGTGAGATTCACGTTTCAAAAAAAGGTAATAGTACTCTTTTTCTTTGACGTGGGTTGTGACGTGAATTTGACACTTTTTTCATTTTATTTTTTCCATGACGTGGATTGTGTCACGTTTCAACTTTACATCAGTTTGAGCCTTTGTTTTCCAATTGCCATTTGTGACGTTTCGACGTGAACCTCACCGATTCCACCGATTCTCGTTCTCAAGCTCACCTATTCTGGTTCTCAATCTCAGCGATTCACAGTTCTGGTTCTCAATATCAATCTCAGTCCTGGTTCCACAGTTCCGGTTGTACACTGTGGGGTTCGCTCGGTGAGGTTCACATTGAAACACAAACTGGATTAAGGTTCACATCTGAAGAACGAGAATCGAAACACAAACTGGATTAAGGTTCACATCGAAACACAATCCGCCGGAAGTGTCCATCTGAAGAAAACACAAACTGGAAAAACCAAAATCAAAGTTGGGGGGTCGGACGTGAACCTTACCATTGATGTTTCGACATGAACCAAAATCAAAGTTCCATTTACTCACATCCTTCGTCTCACACTAGACACACAACACAATCTCTCTCCCTCTCTCTTATCATGGACGCTCTCACTCTCTTCTGCACCGCCTCTCTCATCGCCGGCGGCTTCTATTCGCCGTTTCTGGAGGTTGGTGTTGTACAGGGAGGCCTCCGAATTCGTCTTCATCCCAGTACTCGAACGAACTCGTTGAGGGTTTGGGAGGTGCATCTGAATCGGCTGAAAAGAGGGTTTGATCAGGGGGTTCATGATCGGACTCGATGGTGTCGGACTGAGTGATAGTCGGAGGTGTTGGGGATCGGAGAGGGAGATCGATGAGATGGATAGGGTCATCGTCTAGGGTTTCGTCATCTGCATCAAAACCCTCGAAGTGTGAGTCGGTGGCGGAAACGGTGGAGAGAGTGAGGTGATGGAGGAGGAGAGAGAGAATGAAGATAAGAGCTAGGAGGTCGCCTCTGGGGAAGAAGAGGGAGGAGAGTGGAGAGAACCATAGAGAAGAAGAGCAATGTCTTCTCGCCGCCATCGCCATGATTGTCAGAGAGAGAGAGTGTGAGATTTCTAGAGAAAGAAGAGCAGTGTCTTCTCGTGGAGGAATGTGGGATTTCGCGGAGGAAGAGAATAGCGGTGAGGCAGACGAGGATCAGCAAACGTGGGTCAGCAAACGTGAATCAGCCAACTAACACTGCAGTGTTCATCCCTGTTCAAAACATGAGACCCAAATTACCAAACGTGGATCAGCAAATGTATCCCACAAAATCTGCCTTTAATCCTAATATACACCTCTATAGAAAAAAAACAAAAAAGGGTAAACCTGTCCATACACATATCACATAAATTCAAAATGGGTCCTAACTGTCTACAAAACATACCAAATAGGACTTGTCAATCCAAAAGAATGAATGTGGGACCAAATGGAGTAATAAATTGATAAATAGGACTTTCTGATAATTTCCCCTTACTTAAATTACAAATTATTAATATAGTTTTAGATATTGTATTATACCTTTTAAAGTTTCTAATTTCATAACAAATAGATCATTTTATTAATAAATCATCAAGTTAATTAATAGTTTTTAATAATGTTAAAATTTTATTTCAATTAATAATTCAGATAATTTTATTATTGTATAAGTAAACAGTTAGAAATTTTATTTTTTCAATTAATTCTGTTAAATAAAAAATTCTGACAAAGAGATATTTATAATTTTTCAAACATAGGGAACAATTTATATTTTAAACAAACCTCATGGAGTGTATTTTTAATATACCCTAAATTAAAATATGATTTAAAATTTATAATAATGCAATAATTTTAAAGGGGCAGGATCAATAAATCTTATTTTCATATTTTAGTAACTAATATAAATATCTAATGAACCCAATAATCCTATTTGTGTGGAAATGACCCTACAATTTATACTTGTGGATACTAGTTAATACCTATAAATTATCAAAATTTTCACAATTTAAAATTATACATTTGTCCAAAATTTAGTAAGGAACTTTTGTACTCTTTTAGAATGTTTGAACAATCTCACATTTTAAGTCATTTCAAATCAAAACTCCACAATTTGAAATTATGCATTTGTCCAAAGTTTATCAAGAGAATTTTGTACTCTTTTTAGAATGTTTGAAAAATCTCACATTTCAAGTCATTTCAAATCAAAACCTCACAATTTGAAATTACACATTTGTCAAAAACTTACAAGACTTTTTGTAGTCTTTTTGATAGTTTGAAATTAAGCGTTTATCCAAAATTTATTAAGGAGTTTTTGTAATTTTCAAGTTATTCCAAATAAAAAATATTTCCATATCAAAATCCATCCCAAATTTGAATACCCACACCCCACCCAAAAACATTCTCATATCGAAGATCTATACTCAATGAAATTCAATGTTGATTTGTGCCACTAGATTCACTCAATAAAATTTCATAAAATAATAAATTGTGTGTCTTATCTTTTCTGCCAAAAATATATATATATATATACAAACAAACAAACATAATGAAAATAAGGGTATAAATTGAAACTCAATTTTTAAAAATATATTAAATCTAACTTTTCAAAATCAATGGAACTAATTGGTCTATAAATTTTTTTTTAGAACTAACGGATCACCATTTCTCGAGATGGGTTTTATGGATAAATTTTTCCAATTTTAAATTTTGATAATGTATTATAATCTTATCAACTAAAATGAAAATCTCTATTCTAAAATTATACAATTTTAGGGGGGAAGGAAAAATGCTCAATTCATGGGTTCTCTTATCCCCACATCCCTTTCCCAGATAGTAAAGGTGGTAAACGGGGCAAGTGTAGTACGATCAAAACGGCTTAAGCATGTAAAACAGCTTAATCCAAACCTTCCTACTATTTGATGTAAATAGATTGGGTTGAATTTGGATACGGCTTAAATAAATAAATCCAGCTAACCCACTTACTTTTTTCTCCCAATGCAATAGACGTGGTGGCGGTTAAGTGGAGACAATAATGATAGAGTAATAATGATGATGATGATAATGTAGTACTAACAGCAATAACGATGGTGGCTAGTAATAATAACAATGGTAATGATGGTGGCGGCGGCGGCAACGATGGTATTGAGATGGTGATGGTATAGGTGTAATGCTGATGGAGTGGCAATGATGTAGGTGGCTGAGTAGTAGCAATGGTGGTGATGGTAGTGTGATAGAGGAGGTGATACTCGTTTAAATGAGTATCTATGTCCAATCTATTTAAACTCAACTTTGATTGAACTTGCAACTTAATTCTAAATTTGGACAAGTTTAAACAAAATTTAAATGTGTAACCAAAATGACTTATATACTTCTAGATTTGGGGAGTAAAACAATGGGGTCAAATAAGTCCCTATAATTACATAAAATTAGCATTTTCATAGTGCTTATAGACACATTTTTTGCCTACCCAAACAATTTAGCTCCAACAATCCACAACCTCAAATTTTACACACACACACACACATATATATATCACAATCTACATCATAATCTCAAACTGTGCACCTGTATTTTTCTAGCATTTTCTAGGCAATCGAACAGAACATCAGTTGAATTTGTTTGTTCTTTTTTTTTTTGATTTAATAAAAAAAAAAAAGAAAAAAAAAAGAGGAATGCCATTTCCTTTCTAAAGTGGATGATGCTACATAAATGAATTTTCAAAACCCTAGCATACTTGCAGCAATAATAAACAAAATAATCAATTTTCAAATTAAACATATATACATTTTTTCTCCCAATGCAATAGACGTGGTGGCGGTTAAGTGGAGACAATAATGATAGAGTAATAATGATGATGATGATAATGTAGTACTAACCGCAATAACGATGATGGCAAAGTAATAATAACAATGGTAATGATGGTGGCGGCGGCGGTGGTATTGAGATGGTGATGGTATAGGTGTAATGCTGATGGAGTGGCGATGATGTAGGTGGCTGAGTAGTAGCAATGGTGGTGATGGTAGTGTGATAGAGGAGGTGATACTCGTTTAAATGAGTATCTATGTCCAACCTATTTAAACTCAACTTTGATTGAACTTGCAACTTAATTCTAAATTTGGACGAGTTTAAACAAAATTTAAATGTGTAACCAAAATGACTTATTTACTTCTAGATTTGGGGAGTAAAACAATGGGGTCAAATAAGTCCCTATAATTACATAAAATTAGCATTTTCATAGTGTTTATAGACACATTTTTTGCCTACCCAAACAATTTAGCTCCAACAATCCACAACCTCAAATTTTACACACACACACACACACATATATATATATCACAATCTACATCATAATCTCAAACTGTGCACCTGTATTTTTCTAGCATTTTCTAGGCAATCGAACAGAACATCAGTTGAATTTGTTTGTTCTTTTTTTTTTTGATTTAATAAAAAAAGAAAAAGAAAAAAAAAAGAGGAATGCCATTTCCTTTCTAAAGTGGATGATGCTACATAAATGAATTTTCAAAACCCTAGCATACTTGCAGCAATAATAAACAAAATAATCAATTTTCAAATTAAACATATATACATAAAGCTTTCAAAATACATGATGGATGATGATCAAACACCAAATGAAAAAGTCTGTACAAGTTTGATGAACATGAGGCCAACAAATAAATGTTTTGGAAAGGGTTGACTCTATGTATGTATAAATAAACATTATATAGCATAATAACAGTTCTACTAAAACAAGTAGATTAGGAGCAGAATTCATCAACCCTCTCTGTAGAAACCCTTTCTTTCTGCGGTTAATGCTACGGATTTGCAGATGGGGCAGGTGTTCTTGATGAGCAACCACTTTTTTACACAATCTACATGGTACTCATGTCCACAATCGAGAGCTCCAATCTTTTCTTGGTTCTTATAATCCGTCTGAAAAATACCCAAATTTACAGTCATCAGTCCATCAACGACACAAGTAATTTAGTCTTCAAGTTTGATCAATCATGACAATGAATATGAGAACAGGAAGTAATAAGAAAAAAATAAATCATAACATTAATAGAAGAGGAAAAGGAAAGATGCTTGCTTTTTTTATCAACTTTTTTATTGACTTTTTTCGTTTTTAGTTAACTTTTTTAAAAAATATATATAATTTCAAAAAATTTACACTTCCAAGTTCTACTCAACTTGATGGACCTGAAAAGTTTATATATAAAATTAAAAAAAAAAAAAAAAAAAAAGAGTCTACATTCTTAGCTTTTTGTCTTTTGGGAATTTTTTTGGATTTTTTTTTAAAAAAAATTTAATTAATTAATTTCTTTTTAGATCATTCTAGACTAACATACTTGAAAAGTAAATTTTTTTGACCCAAATCTAAAAAAAATCACTAAAGACAAAAAATTGGAAAAAAATGTGACTTTTTTAGCTGATCCCAAACAGAAGGAATCAGAAAACCATTAAAGACAATGACAGTGACGATATGCAGCAGAAATTCATCTGAGAACTCAGAATGTCAAACACAAACATAATAGTGGAACAAGAAATGAAAAGGCCAACGAAGAAGGAAACCGACACCAGCAATGCTAGTTTTACCAGTAATTTGAGCAAAAAGTGAGGCAGATTATTCTAAAAAGAAACATGAACTATTGAATTACATGTGAACCCATGGACACTGCTTGCATATTCAAGTATATTCAGAGCATCGAGTATGTTCACATTTTTTAACCGTTAAAATAATATAAAGTCAAAGTAACGTCAATACCTGACATATGACACAGAAATCAGTATCCTGATCAGCACAAGCCGCTTCTTCCGGATTCATACAAAGAGTAGATGAAATATATGTTCTGGTTTTCAGATGACTTGTGATGGTCTCCTCTGACAACCCGGTCGTAACATTGCCAATCTGTTCTCCCAATGCAAGAAGCTCCTGGAATAGAATTTAACATTTTCCGGTTAAATTAGTTGGCATAACAATTAATCAACTTCTGGAAAATCAAAACAACATGGGAAGGTTGTTCTAATATATACTAATTCTCTATTGGATTCTCCGGCAAAATGATTTTCTATTATTTCATTAAAACATCAACCATTTCATGATAAGAAAAGTAAATCCTCAAGTTACCTCATATGACATATGATCGATATCCAAGCGCAAATCTCGGTGGCGATCAATGGAATTCCCTACTTCATAATAGCCAGAAATCTCTAGCGTGGCGACTTCCTACATACATCAACCAAAACTGTTTAGCCAATTTAGATACACATAGTAAACAATACAAAGACAATGGTAAACAATAAAAGATAATCACTAAGGGTCTATTAGGTAATGTTAATTTTTACAGTTTTATATTTATATTTACAAAATGTTTGAAAACTGTAAGCAAAAACTCATTTGGTATCTACTTTTGTTTTCAAAAACTTGCGAACAGTTTACAAAATTTATTAAATTCTTGTCCAAAAAAATGTTGTTTTAGAAAAAAATTCTCCCACCGCCTGTAGCCACCACCCATAGCTCATCACCACCATTGGTGATCTCCTCCAACAACCACCTTCCATGTGTGTACCAAGCTTTTTTTAATTTTTTTTATACCAAAAATAAACATAATCGAGTTTAATGTTTTAGGCAAATAAAATGTAAATGTTACCAAACAACACCTAAGCGCACAACTCCGATAAAACGGAATCATACAACTGTAAATTATAGTTTGTTTTTTGGGTAAGCAAAATCATAAAACTGAAATATAGAGAAAAGATTACATCTGCTGGCAGAATTCTCAAGTGAGGAAGGTTACGGTGCCTCATGGTTGCCTCAGGTATGAGTACCCTTTGATGGGGCTGGTATATCCTAGGGCTAGTTGGTGGAACAGGCCCCACATATCTAGGCCCCACCTCCACAACATCCTGGAAAGGATTCATACGGGTGTGTGAAGTGCTACTTGTTGAAAGTCTATGAGAAGATGTTGCTACTTGGGAATGGAAATTGATATTCTGGCCTCTCAATCCTTGCATAGGATGTGGTGGATGATGAAGATTGTGGTGCCCTTGGTGGAAGGGAGGAAGATGCATGATAGTTGTTGAACTTCTATTGCTAGCTGTCTCTTGATATGCACCCATGGTTCCTGGCTCTGTGCGTCCACCACTAACACTACTCCCTGAAATCAGGAGAGAGAGAGAGAGAGAGAGAGAAATTAGTTCAATTCTTATAGGTTTAAGGATATATCACCAATGGCATACTAGGATGTAGGAACAAATTGGAATATTTTCCTCGCTTTTCCATGGAACACAACTATACTAATGGTGCCTTCAGCAAAAAATAGTAGTCATGTACCACTCACTAGATGAGAGTGGGTGGAACAGATTCCACTGAACTTTTGAAGGATAAGTTACACAAGACAAGTGGGATGAAACTTTCCATTTGAAGGCAAGGATCAAAATTTCGTTTCCATGTGTCATTTCGATTAATATGGAAACAAAAACATTTCGGAAACATTTAAGAAGCAACAAAAGAATTTGAAAATACATAGAAATAATTGAAAACATAAGTTATCTAAATGTATACAAGTTCCATAATTGATTAATTAAACATACTGAGATTTTACATAGTGTTCACAATAAAGAGCAAGTGTAATCAATATTTCTATGAATCAAAACTTGTTTAGTATTGTCCAGTAACTTGAGATTAAACACAAGTGCAAATGATTCTAAAAGTGTATAAAATTTTACTTAAAAGAGTATATTATTAATGTATATAAAATTTACTACATAGTAAAATACCATTTATATTTTTCTAAAAAAAATAGTAAAAAAATCTATAAAAAAAATCCGACTAATTGTTTTGGTTTATTGCAGTGTGTTATGGTGTGTCCCTCCATGTAGCAGTGTGTTTCATGAAAACACTAGTGTTTCATTTTCCGATGGAAACAAATGGAAATTTTGTTTCTCATTTGAAGGTTTTAGTTACCACTGGTTATATTTTTATATTTTTTTGTCGGAAAAAGAAAATAAAGGCTAAAGAATAGATAACACTATAGACCCTAAGAAAATTACCGTGCAAGTAGGTTATAGCAGGTGCCTGACTCCAAGTCAGAGTGCCTCCATCACCACCATTAGTGTGGAACTGATGGTCCAACCAGGGAGAACTGGCAGTCTGAAAGGCCGGCCCAACATAAGTCGTTTGAATCAAATGGTTACGGTTATGTGCCAACACAAAGTCCGGTCCAATAGCGCCTGATACACTTTGATGAGATCCAACTTCCATAGGACTAGCCACAGGTTCAACAGGCCTTCTATTTAGAAGGGTGATTGCAGAACTAGGGCCCGCTAAAGCATTACAATACTGGAAACTTCCCGGCATCCCTTCAGCATTTTTCATCTTAGATGGAACTCCAACACCAACCATGAAGTGATTGCTCATTCTATAGTCATCTATAGGGACTCCAATAATTCCACCATTGCTAGAGGATGGTGATAGATCATGAGACCCTTGATTTATTGAGAGGGGGAAAATTCCGGCACCAGATGGAGTCATATATGGATTATAGTAATTAGATGCATGATGATGCTGAAAACCATTGTACTGTGCCATCCCATAAAACAAAGCATTTTCATGGCTGTCTGGTAGATGATGGATATCAAAATGAGTTGGGTTCCCAGCAGCTGGTAATATCGAGTGGACATTAGGCTGTGGACAATTTCCTATGCTCCCGAAAAGAACACAAGGCTCGAGACGGACATGGGACTGGGCTTCTTCATCCAGCTCCAAGTCAATCATCTGACTAGGGCACAGCATATTCCTTTGCCCCATTTTATCAAATCAAATAACTGGATAATTCCTGCTTCAAGTGGAAATATCGTGAGTGTAAAAAAACGGTTAGATTGATCACTTGCAACTAACCAAGGAAAATGCTAATGCCTATATGCACGTGTCAAAAGTGTATAGAAATGTGTGAAATGTGCATAAATTTCAATAGAGGTGTTTGGGAATACGTGAAAATGAATTGAAATTTTTACCAATTTTGGCACTATCTTCACCTTAATGACAGCCCATAGAGTTGTCGTTATTAAACTCATAATTCTAATGAACCCCATCACATGGGACAAATAATTGCATGGTTAGGTTCTGGTAATCAGGTGATTGATTTCAAGGGACTAGGTATACAAAAGAAAATCTATGAAAGCACAGAGCATATCTGCACACATATTTTATTTAAAACCTAAAAGTGGGAGATATGACAAACAATTGACAACCTGATCACCATGTATGCCTTCTCTCATCTCAAATTATTAATCAAAGGCCTTTCTCTCACTCAAAGGAACAAAAAGAAAAAAGGCGATCAAGGCACAAGAAAAGAACCAAAACCATAAATATGCTGAGTTTGAAGACATGGATATTGACCATTACAAGTCTTGTGCCCTAAGGAGGCACAGTGAGCCTACCACAAAATCCAATTGCCAAGGTCACCTCTTCACCAAGATAACTGCCTGTCAATTTTGGGTTCTATCAAAAACTCACACATGGATTGTGCATTTACAAAGACCACCAACACCTTTTACCATCCACTTAACGCTGTTTAAAAAATCAACTTTGCAAATAACATTGCAGAAATTATAAGCAGCAGCTTCCACAGTTTAAAGGGGTAAGTAATGAGGACCAATCCTATCCAATGTCAGACAAGTGATACACTTAAATTCCATACAAATTGCTACATTTTAAATTCCCCTTGTGGTTGACGCAGGCAGTGATGTCCATAAATATAATGAACTCAAAACTTTCAAATGATTGAGACCAACTACAGTTGCCCATATGCCTATTTTTCCCATTAGTTGGGGGAAAGGGGTGGTTGCTTCTTGTCTTTTGTTTCTAGATCACCAATTTACTGCTAAACAAGCACATAACCACATAAACAAACATGTTTCTAGTACCACAAAACTTCTAGCTATTAATCATCAAGAACACTCATATGTCCAAAGGAGAAGCTCAGCCAACCCCCGAAAGATGGAAAAGGGAAGACTCAAATGGAGTAAGCAAAGGTAAAATGAAAGAATGAATTACTAATGATTCCACTCACCCAATGCACATGAAATATGCTTGGAGAAGTTTCCAATCCATTCTCCTTTTCGTTGAGAAATTTACATGTTCACCTTTTACAAGGCCACTGTCCATGTATGGGCATCAACCTCAGGATGGAATCATACCCGAAAATGTTTTGTGGCAAAGAATGGAGAGAGAATGAAAAGCCACTCTATATATATATATAGGCAAGAAAGAACTTAAACAAACAAGATCCATCATGCTTCAAACACGAAATTATAGTCATGGAAAGACAAGGATATTTAAGAATGAAAAAAACAAAAGAGTCTATACTAGAGACATCTGTTGAAGATTTTTATCATATTATATTATAAATAAAAAAAGAAAAAAATAAGGAAGAGAAGTATGGTACTAACAATTGAAAAAAATGGATTTTTTTTTTTTTTTTTTTTTTTTGTGGCAAGTATGAACACAATGTAAACTACCAAAACTAAAAATAAAAAGAAACCATATTCCTCAGTACACAATGGAAACCACGTTCTTTAGTTCTTTTCAAGTTTTGAAAGTATGAACGAAATGAAGGCTACCAAAAATAGAAAGAAACCAAATTCCTCAATACACAGTGGAAACCACATTCTTAAGTTCTTTTCAAGTTTTGAACTCACTCCTGTTCCTTTAGCTCTTCTCAAGTTCCCTTTTGTTTGGATGGAAAGGAGACCATAATCTCTTAAAAGTTGTAGCAGATAGCAAATTAAAACAGAGGCAACATAGGAATTAAAATTAAAAAATACTACAAAAATTACAAAAAAAGGCATCTTTAAAAGATTACAAATAAGCTATAAGAATGCCCAAAAATAGAAAAGAAAACAAGTTGAATTCATAACAATGAATTGATTGTGTGTAGTAGGTATGTGTCCATCTCCACTACGTCATCTCAACAGCTACATCCATACAGCCATGTGTTGACAAAAGAAGACGAAATGTGGTCCAACCGCAGAGCACCTCATATGGACCTCTCTGAACAAACCAAGTCTGAGTCCCAGCTGCCAAACACTGTGTTCCCTCATGGATTGCCTCAGCGAGCAACTGCCAAAAGGCTGCTTGCTGCCCCATCCAAGCAGCCCCCAAAACAGTCGCTTGCGCATGGCAAGCAACTTCCATTGATCGCCTCCCTTACAGAGAACAATTCAAGAACAAAGTCAACTATCACTTCAACTAGGCTGTGAGCAGGGCCTAGGACAACCACTTGGGATCATTGGAGGATTGTGGCTTCGAGGCTATAGCCATGGGTTTGTCAAGGTTCGCCTCGCCCACCCCCAAAATGGCATGGTGGGTCCACCTTGACTAGTCTTGGAGACAAAGGGACTTTGACCAAGATATGTAATATCTCGGATAGCGTATCATACCTAACTTCGTAGATTATGATACAATCCCCAATGCTTGTCATACCTCCCAAAGCATGACCTAAGAAGAACGAACTCAAACATGCAACCTAACACGAACACAACACCAATATGTTCACTTGACAGTTTTCAAAAAACTGCAGGATACAACACGTGCAGGACACGTATGAGATACAACACGTTCACTAGAAAAAGCCATCACATAATGAATCCAAATGGCATTTAAGAATAATAATTGATCCAATAATCGTAAATAACCAACACAAAATCATTTCCATGTATAGAAACACCATACTTAAAAACGAGAACATAATTTTCATAGTATCATAAGTTTAGTTTTCAGTATATATAATTTATTACACTTACCTTATTCACACTGTTGATTTAACTGAGGCTTAGACTCACTCTCTGGGTGAAGGGAACATAGGCATAATAATCTTCTTCACCCCTAAGACATACAACAAATTGATACTAGTAAACATCATACCCTAAATATTACGCATGTTGTAACTACACATACACATGAAATACATTAATATATAAACCATAACTCATTTTGAGACTCAGAATCGCTTGATCTCATTGACATATAGTATGCAAAGTAAAACATGATTTAAAGTAATTAAGAAATACACTAAATATGAAAGAATGTTACAAATTAGAGTTTAGCTACAGTGACCAGCTTGAGATAGGTGCACTATACTGATCATATCTCCTGATATAATGAGAATCTAAAGGTGAGATTAATGCCATAGAAAAGTGGATTTCTAATTTTGTAAACCCCTAGTTTATAGGCCTAAATTAGAGTTCAAATGAAGAAACTATGCCCATTTAAACATCCTAACATTCTAGAGAGGAAAAAGAAAAAAAAAAAAACAACGTTGATGTCAATTTTGGGTCAACTTTGACACAAAATTGTTGTCTTCAACTGGAAAAGATCCTAGACTGCAAGCCTCATACCACTAGAAAGACCTATAAGTCTAGTTTCCAATGCAACAAATGGTGCAAGATTCCAGTTTTTTTGAGAAAAATATGGCCATTTTTTCTACAATGTGACGTGCTAACCGATAAATTATGGCTTAACCTAAAATGGTTCAAACTTATTTTTCTTCTTCTAATCTCAACCCAACTCTGACTCCAACCTCTTTCCAACCTTCATTTAACATCTAAAGTAGGTTGTAAACCATTTAAGATGCATTTACCCTAATCAAATCTTGTTGAACACGAATACTCACTTCAAGTTGCCAAATGCAAGAATCGCATTTCTTGAACTTAGGTCAAACCAATCCAGCCACCTTCAACCTCTCTTACAAATCAAAACTTAGAAATAATTCAGTTGCTAAAATTTAAGAAGTACAATGAGAAGCAACCAAACAATAATTTAAGTGTCCAAGGTTTTTAATGGCATCCAGTCACTTGTTTAATTACTGCCTTTCCTTATGGGCATTTGTCCTCATTTTTATCATTAGCCTAAGAGCATTTTGTAATATCTAAAAGCATAGTTCATGACTTGAAATTTGTTAAAATTTATTAAAATAGCTACAAACTTTGTTAAAAAATAAATTATTATAAAAGAGAAACAGCCCTGTAAAATTGTTCCCTTGCATAAAAAAAAAATACCCATTAAGTTTGTAGCTTCACAAATAAAAAGTAACCCTAATTAACAACTAAGACTCCATTTGTTTGCTGAGAACAATGTGGGGAAAAAAATATGAACTTTTAAATTTAGAAATTTTTCATAATACAGCTTGCTATGTAGCTTTGCTGGGTCAAGTTTTCATTTGTTAGAAGGTAAAAAGACCCTCAACATGATTTCTGCTAGAATTACAAGGGTCACCTCTATAACTAAATAAAATATTAAAAAAAATAAAAATAAAAATAAATCAGATACTCAAAGTGCTAGCTTTTGCAATTATCGGCAACCAATGTAAACGTAGTTTGTGCACTCTTGCAACAATCAAAAGGGGCAAAAAAAAAACCCTAATTTCTAATCAACAACGAAATGGAAACATTGTTGATTATAATCCATGTAAAGCCTGCAATTGAACTTTCTTTCGAATGCTAATGTGTATCTGAGCCTGTAGATACATATTAATGCGTACATATGGTAGGATTGAAAATTACAAAAAAGAAAAAATAAATTGAAAATCAAGTGAGAATTAGGGAAATTTTAGAGAGTAACGAAAGAACAAACCAAATTGGGCCTTGATCAGAGCGAGAGAGAAAGAGAGATCATGAAATAACATAGAGAAATCTTTGTGAAACGTAAAGAGGGAGAGAGAGAGAAATTCAATGGAGAATCATCTGGAGTTGTTGTAGTTCGTCCATATTTGTACCGTTACTGCTACGTGGCTGTTTGCCTTTGTAACTGATGGCAATTAGAGTTTGTTTGTTTTTATTTTTCAATGGAGTGTTCTCATTTTTCAGAAAATATTTTTTTGAAAATTTTACATTTTTATTTTTTGTTTTTATTTTTTGTATTTTTTTGTTTTACTGAATTTTTTAAATATTTTAAGTAATTTTTTTATTTTTTAGACACACCTAACATAAATACACCTAAAAAGTAAAAAATTTGTAAAAAAAATCTTTTAAAAAATCACTAAATACCAAAAATACAAAAAAAAAAAATAAGAATTCAGTATATTTTTATGTATTTATTGATTTTTTAAAATATTTTTTCACAATTTTTTTACTTTTTAGATACATCTAACTAAGATGTATCTAAAAAAGTAAAAAAATGTTTAAAATTTAAAAAATATTCACTAAAAACAAAAGAATACGAAAACCAAAAAATTCAGTTTTCAAAAAATTTAATCCAGAAAACTCAAATCAAACACACTGAATTTTTTTATTTTTCATAAATTTAAAATACCGATTACTTAGAAATTACCACACTGAATTTTTTTTTTTCATAAATTTAAAATACCGATTACTTAGAAATTACAAATATTCTCTTATTGAAAATTTTTATTTTAAAAAATTAGTAAACAAAATAAAAATTTTAATTATTCTTCTATAAATTAATAAAATTAACTATATTATTAATTAATATATATTTTATCATATTATTAAAAGAACACTTGGCTCATAAATTCAAATTTAGATTTTGTTTAGCCAAAGAACCAAACGCTAAAATTTAGGCAAAGTGACCAAAATATCCATCTATACATATGGTACACACTGTGGAAACTAAACCCTAAACCAAACCCCCTATCTGTCTTTTCTCTCATCTTTTTAATTTCCCTTTACCGTCTCTTTTTCTTTGTAGATTATCTTCAATCACCAAACTTATCGGTCACAGCGGACTCTTACTCGTCTAGCTCCCAACACGGCTTCTGCACTGTCGCGTTGATTATGTTATTGAAATGGTTTTCTCATCGAAATCAATAACATTGTCGTAACTGAGCTTAATGTCTCCATCGTCGGCGGGCAGTGGAGCTGTCGATCATTCTTTTTCTATTTTTAAATGGATTCACCAAAATGTCATAGTCCTCTCTTTCTTTCTCTCGATAAAACCCTACTTTACCACCAATCGCCATCGTTGTAACACCGTCATTCATTACGGCAACTTCTTATCTTTGCTGCTTCAGATCTCTGAACTCCAAATTTGGATCTTGACTCTCTCCAAGCCTTAGATCCCAATCTTTCTCTCTCTGTAGTTCAATTTTCTATATTTGAATGCAGTTCTTAGATCTAAAATGTGTTTTCATTTTTTTTTCTTGATTTTCCAAATTTTCCAAGTTCACGAAACAATTATTTGATTTTTTAGATTTTCCATATTTGAACACAATTCTTCGATTTTCCAGATTCGAACATAGTTCTTTGTGGAGAGAGTGAGCTTCGATTCAGATGAGGATCTCACGCTCAACTTCACTCATTTGATATATTTCGTGAACTTGAATGGTCTTATAGCGAAGAATATTGATATTTTGTTATTTTTATGTATTGTTTCCGATTTAAGACTCGTGAAATAATGAAATTGTTTTTGTTCTTGAAAACTCTTTGTTTAGCAATTCCAAATTGTTGATGTTAATTGCGTAGTCTTTATTGGTATGAACCATAGGTTCCAAACTGAGCAAGTTTAGCAACACTAATCTAAAGTGCCTCAACATAGATTTGATTGTATTAGATTTAAACAGACAAAAAATAAATTGAATAGATCACTCTCTCCTCTCTCCACTCTCCAAAAGGCTCATATTTGTTCAAAAAATTAAACAAATATGTTGAGATAGGTTCAAAAAATTGAATAGATAGAATAAAATTTCAACAGATATAATTTTACGTAGACAGATTTTTAACAGAAATAAAAAGAAATTGATAGATTTTAAACATATAGAGAGAGAAACCCATGACTTCTAAACAGATTGGGAAAAAAATTAAACAGACAAGGTGGTGGGTCGTTTTACACACTAAAAATAAACACTAAACTACAAAAAATTTCTTAGAACAATGATAAGTTCAGGTATAGATCCACAGGGACAAATGTGAAATTAAACTAATTTAATTGTTAAATTTCTAAATTAATTTTGATCAATAAGATGATAGTTCATAGACTAATAATAATTTTAAAAAAAAAACTAAAAGATTAAACTAGTAATTAAAATTGAAGTTGAAGATAGTGATTTTTGGAAAAACCTGAGGTAACAAATTTACCACTAGCTACATAAATAAGGTCTCAATTTAAAAATCAATTGCGTTACGATTCTAACTAAATAATACTTTACAACTACAAATTTGAAACATTGATCAAGAGAGTTATCACGTTCAATGTATAGATACGAACCATCTCAAGTAACACGAGTTGTTCACTCTAAGTTAGGTAGCAACATTACTCATCTCTCGTAGTGTGGCTCGTCTAATACCTTTAATATGAAAGAATAGAAGACCATTGCATAGAAAGCATTCAACAATCATAGAAAATAGAATACTTGAAGAAAATCATGAAAAATATATTTAAAAAACTTCTTAAACACCATACAACTCGTTCATACTATTATAACAATGAAAACTAAAGAAAAAACTCTATTTTCTTGGCTAGGATTTTGTCAAAACCCTAAAAATAGAAGAACTAGCCATTCATAGAGGAATGGGAAGAGGAAGAGGAAGAGGAAACCCCGATGGATGATGTTCTTGAAGCTTGAGAACCTTTATCTTCAAACATTAGCCCCTCTTATATTTTGAAAATTTCCAGAACCCTAATCTAGCTATTTATTTTTTTTACCTTCAGTTTTTTCAAAACAAGTTCCAAACACCAGGCATGAATTTCGATATACGGTCGCATGTGCGGGAAATTCCACTTTACGTGCAGAGAGGGTTATATACGTGCGGGAAAAAACCTCCGAACGTGCGATTTTCATGGTCTCTGTTTGGCTACAATTAGGGGTGTGCATAGTACCGCCAATACAGCTCTGAATCGCTCCGAACGGCGCATTTTTTGAACTATGTTGGGCGGGTTGGGGTTCCAACTCTGGCGGGCCAGCGCGGGTGACGGGTGAAAATTTGCCAACCCGCGGTTCTAACCGACCCGACCCGCAGCTGATGAAAAAAAAGTTCATGTGCTACACGCTACACACACAACATGAAATTTTAGCCATAGATTACACACATACACATCCATCACACAAATACTCTCACACACACAATAATTCTTCAACTAAACCTAATTAACCCACACATTTCATCTCATTCATTCATGTCGATTCATCGCCACTGTCTTTTGGTCTCATTCCTCACCTCGCCGATTGGCTCACCGCCATTGTAGTCTCTCCTCACCACCATCGCCGCCACCGTCTCCTTCCTTTTCCGATCAGCGCCTACTCGTCGTTGTCGACTCGTCACTTCGGTACGTGACTCTCTCGCTCTTTCTACTCCTTTCTCTTTTGCTTTGTTGATCTCTCTATCTCTTTGTTTTTTTTCTTTTTCTTTCGTGTTGATTATTGGCTACTAAAAAAAATTTAGTAGCTAAAGATATTACAATTAGCGACTAAAACAATTTTTAGTAGCTAAAAATATGACAATTGGCGACTAAATAAAAATTTAGTAGCCGTAGAGGTACCTTTAGCTACTAAATTTTTTGGTAGCTGAATTAAAATTAAAAAATTAATTTTTAATCTTTCCCGACCAAACCTTTGGTCGCCAAATGTCAAGTTTCCGCGACAAAATTTCTTTTAGTCGCTGTATACCTACTTTCGGCTACTAAATTGTTTGGTAGCCGAATGAAAATTAAAAAATTAATTTTTAATCTTTCCCGACCAAACTTTTGGTCGCCAAATGTCAAGTTTCGGCGACAAAATTTATTTTAGTCGCTGTATACCTACTTTCGGCTACTAAATTGTTTGGTAGCCGAATGAAAATAAAAAAATTAACAAAATAGTTATTTTATTTTATTAATAACAATACCATTAGTCTCCACTTGAAAATTTGACTAAACAAAATAGTTATTTTTATTTTTATTTTTATTTTTATTTTTATTTTTATTTTTATTTTTATTTTTATTTTTATTTTTATTTTTATTTTTATTTTTATTTTTATTTTTATTTTTATTTTTATTTTTATTTTTATTTTTATTTTTATTTTTATTTTTATTTTTATTTTTATTTTTATTTTTATTTTTATTTTTATTTTTATTTTTATTTTTATTTTTATTTTTATTTTTATTTTTATTTTTATTTTTATTTTTATTTTTATTTTTATTTTTATTTTTATTTTTATTTTTATTTTTATTTTTATTTTTATTTTTATTTTTATTTTTATTTTTATTTTTATTTTTATTTTTATTTTTATTTTTATTTTTATTTTTATTTTTATTTTTATTTTTATTTTTATTTTTATTTTTATTTTTATTTTTATTTTTATTTTTATTTTTATTTTTATTTTTATTTTTATTTTTATTTTTATTTTTATTTTTTAATTTTTAATAATAAATTTATTATTTTTAAAAAGTACAATTAAACTATTTATACTTTTTACATCATCATATTTCAATAACACTAATAATATTAAGAATAAATCAAAATTCACAAATAAAAGACAAATATCCCAATTATTTATCATGTTAATAAATTTTTCAATATTATTACCAGTACTAATGAAATCATCATTTTACAGACACAAAACATATATTTAAAAAGTTTTTAAAAAATTTCATTATCAAAACGAGGGCTAAGTGTGTAAAAAAAATTCACTCATGACTTATAAGTAAATAAATCAGATTTGTATGACTTATTTTTAAATTTATACTTTCTAAATATTTCTAAATTTTGTATTTTTTTTCTTTCACAAACTGAGTCATAAAACCCCAATAAAGTAAAAAGTATAAACAATAAATAAAATTAAAAAATATTAATTTAACAAGCCTGATCTATTTTTCATTGACTC